ATAAATACTGATACGTATCCAGTTTATGATATTTGCCAACAAGATTGATACACACAGTTTCTTTTTTTAATACAAATATGTTTTAATATACAAACAATAATACAATTTACAATAACAGTTGTTACAAACAATGATTTATATTCAAAATTTTTACAAACAAACAATATCGAGTCTTCTTTTTGATCTGGAACTTCCTTGATGTCTTATCAAGGGTTTACTATAAGCATTTTAATTTTGAGTTGATGTAGATGCAATTCACTTAACAGGGAACTAACTAGCTCTGTATTCTTCTCTTTTTGCCGGCCACAAGCTGAAGTTATGTAATGTTTTCTTAAAAATAGTAATGTCTGATATAAATCCACTGAAGTTAAATGGTTTGTAATGTTCGAAATTTATGAATGTTGCTGGTCAAATATATGAAATTCCCGATTATTAACAGTTAATCACAGTTATAGTTTCTGAGGTTTATAGTATACCAACTATAGCAAACCAATAATATATATATTGTCTTTTGGCGTGGTGTGTTGGTTATATTTATAGCCATGAAGAGAGTTTCTCAATATCAGCTTACGCAACAATACAATATAAATGATACACCAGTGTTTACGTACACATGTATATTGTTGATTCTTACACTCGAGAATCTTCTACAACTTTAGTGAATAGGTGGGAATTTCACAATACAAACTTAACAGTGTAAGTTATGTACATGTTTAAATATGAATTTAATTTAAACAGACATTGATATTAAAACATGTATATGTTAGTAAATCCATTAGAAAGGTTTCAGTGTTAGTATTACTTTACACAAATGAACTCAACCAATAAGCAAATGCAACATATTGATTTTGTTTTACAGGTTCATATTATAAATTTAGTTGTGATTTGGTTTCAGTTTAATCTCAAATTTGCATAGTCTTGTAAGTTAGAGTTAAATGTGTATTCATTACTACTGATAAGATTATGCTTAATTATATTTCAGTTCATTGGTGAACTTACCCATGTTCAGCTATCCTATATAATTGTATTGTGATCGTTGTCTCTGCAGGGGGAATTCAAAAACCAAGAACTGCCTTTGGCAAGAATAAAAAAGATTATGAAGTTAGATGAAGATGTTAAGGTAAATTTTAGAAATATTAAAAATTTAACTTCTCCCCAATTTTGTGGTTAAGTTCAAAATCTAGTTATAAAATATGTCTTACAAACATTAACAAGAAGATGAATTAAAGTTATTTTTAAATAACTAATAAAAATGTTTTTTCAAGAAACATTTAATTTATAGTGCTTCTAGTTTCATATAGTTTATTCTTTTTTGAACTTTAATCTGAAGTTTAAGTAATCTAGTTCCACAATATAATTACAACATGCAATTTTATTTAGTTGGAAAAGCTTATTAATAAATAAATTTTATCCCAAATAATCAGCTCTTCAAATTGTGTTATGCTTATAAAATGAATCTTTATTCTGTGATTAGGGAATGCATTAACAGATGTTTTTGTTCGAGTCAAAGAATTCAGAGTATTTTTAAAACTTGGCTATTTTCAAATGAAAATTTCAAGGAGTTTTTTGACACGTTACATTCAAATTAAAAATCATTTTGAAAATGACTTGCTTATTACTTCTACAGTTTATATACACAGATTAAAATGTTTTACAACTGACCTGTTGAGTATTTTTATGAAATAGCTATAACTTCTATAATAACATTCAGAAAAGAATCTAAAAAACAAAATAATTATAAATTCGTATTTTATAGCAATGGGAAAGAATTCAGTTTAAGTTCCTTTATTGTTTTAAAGATTAAAAGTGGAAATATTTTGCTACATACATGTAGGAGTGTGATGTTCCAAATCTTGATTGTGAATGTGTTTTACTGAGCTCCATTAGTTGAGATTGTTTTTGAAATATTCAGAGGTAGTATATTGAAGGATATATATTATTCTTTGAATATTTAGGTTTTCTCTGTCTTTAAATCAATAGATGATCAGTGCTGAAGCTCCAGTGCTATTTGCCAAAGCAGCAGAAATCTTTATCAATGAGTTGTCTCTACGAGCATGGATACATACAGAAGATAATAAACGTAGGACATTACAGGTATAGTTGTTTGAAGATGCCTGGTCATTGATCTAATGTAGTCTTTAGAGCATAAAGGACAAGTATATTTAATGAAAAAAAACAACAACAAAGTAATTATAAAATATTGTTTTCTAGCCATGGGAAAGAATTCAGGTTAAGTTCTTTTATTATTTTAAAGAAATTTAAAACTGAAAGAAACAACGAAGGTGGGAGGACCTTCTAAAAAATACATCTGACATATAGTTAAGGATAAAGAGAAACTTGCAAATTTGAGACCTTAATCCTTTTGGTGCTGTACCTCTACTAGAATAGCTACTAGTAACATGACTGTAACCATAATAGTAAGGTGTGCCATCTTTTGTCCACATCAAAAACCGAAAAGGGAATCAAAGGGAAAAACACAAGATATTGATGTAGAGACTGTGATGTGGCATTATTCATGGAAAACTATTTCATAGATTATCACTGTCTGAAAAGTGTTCTCCTGGGATGAAAATAATATGTACATATAATAGTGTATTTGAAAATCGTTCAGTGTAATATTAGTGACTTATTATTGTGCATGGTCAAACATTCTTATTATACACTGTGTATTATGTGACAAACAGTCTCTACCAATGTGTTAGTGACTTATTATTGTGCATGGTCAAACATTCTTATTATACACTGTGTATTATGTGACAAACAGTCTCTACCAATGTGTTAGTGGCTTATTATTGTGCATGGTCAAACATTCTTATTATACACTGTGTATTATGTGACAAACAGTCTCTACCAAAGTGTTAGTGGCTTATTATTGTGATGGTGAAACATTCTTATTATACGCTGTGTATTATGTGACAAACAGTCTCTACCAATGTGTTAGTGACTTATTATTGTGCATAGTGAAACATTCTATATTATACACTGTGTATTATGTGACAAACAGTCTCTACCAATGTGTTAGTGACTTATTATTGTGCATGGTGAAACATTCTATATTATATGCTGTGTATTATGTGACAAACAGTCTCTACCAATGTTGGAGTTGTGGGGAGATAAAGGGAACAAACATTGTGTGGGCGAGTGAACCTGTTCCAGTGTGTGGGTGTAGAGGGAGTGGGAGGGAGGAAGAATGTAAACAGAGCTAGCCAGCAGGCACTTTTCATCTTTTTTACAGTATTTCTTATTACCTGATGTGATTAATATATTTTTTAATATTTTGATTTTCCTCAGTCTGTGAAGACCTATCTAATTTGTCTCGTCTAGTCCTTAATGTATAAGTATTCATCACCTTGATAGAAAGTTTATCAACTGTTAGAAAAAAGTAAAGACTTTGTATTATTGGAAATAGTCTCCACAAAATTGTTTGCAAAATGAAAGATTATTACTAAGGATAAATGGGTAGTAAATGGTCAATCTTTGTTGCTTGGAACATGTTTTTTTTTAAGTAAACCAATTATTGACTGTAATATTCAGTACCGTGTTAGTTGCCACAAAGATTAGGGCTTAGATGCCTAACCTCGTCACTCGGCCAGGGCCAAGTATTACCAGGTAGCACAATACCCGGCCAGGGCCGACTATCTGGTCAGGTATCCAAGCATCCCTAATTATTACAAATACACTGTATATGCTTGATTTGAACAAAAACAAGCTTGCATTTAAAAGATTGAACTGTAAATCTGATATTGTAGTGTTGACTATTAAGGTATGCTAATAAAGAATTGGCTTGATCATTGTTATTAAACAATGCAAAAGTACCATCAACATACTTAGCATAATGAAGAGGCTTGAATTCATTAGGACAGTTAATCACCTGCTGCTTTTCTTGGTAAAATAGGGGCAGTACAAAATATCATAACAGCTTTGCTGGGAAAGTTGCAACAACCTTTCTTCATACTGTTCTGTTTTCTGACACACTCTCCTAGCACATCTAACTCCATATACTGTAGATCACTCTTGTCACTTCTCAGTTTGGCATTTGCTAGTGCAAACATGCAGTTACTTGCACTTATCATACAATGATTGTTGCTTGAACTTTAACTTTTGACAATTTTATTTTTCTATTGTCATTCTTTTGTGCAAAGTTTCTCCTTTCTTTTTTCCACATTATGAAATCACAATTTAATGTCACTAATACTGCTTCTGGTGTGGATCCTCAAAATACTGATCCTGCCAGACTTAAAGCTACTGTGGCATTGGGCTCTACTCTTTCTGCTAAGGTGGTTTCAGCCTTGATGAATTGGGAGTTGGAGTCTTATATGTGGCCTGTAGCATCTCCTGAAGCAAGGTCTGATCATTCTTTCCCAGGGGAATCTGTTCCTGAGGACAACAACTTTGGCAGTCTTTTCTTTCTCTCTCGTTTTTGCTGCTCCTTCCCAGTCTATTTCCGTGAATCTCCCTTGTCCTTCCTCGACATGGTATCTCAGGTTGGTTACCTTTTATTTCTTTCCTATGATTCTTCCCCTTCTGATTTACATTCTGGCCTGGTATATGATTATTTTGCTTTTCCTCCTTCCCCAGATATTTTAATTCATGCTGACGACCAATTTCTTTCTCACCTTTGTGCAGGCACCAGCATGCTTCATCCCCCACGTTTGGCAGATGTACATGTTTTAGCCTACCATATGCTTGAGTATCCTTTTCTTGTCTCTGGAATCCTTTATTTAGTCATGGGGTTTTGATCCTTCTTCTTCCCTTCCCTTTTATCCTTTGCCCAATTCTCACATCTTTGCCTCACCCTTACTACTCTCCTACCTTATCTTTTGTTTCATCTCATTTCCAAAGCTATCCATCCTTCCCATGAAGGGTTTTCAGTGGATTCACATTCCCTTCTTTTCTCCACATTGGCAATGTTTATCTTCTTTGGCTTTGTCACTCCATACCTAGTTACTTTGTTGTTGGAACCTCCTAGGCAGGGCCGCACTTCTGACCCATCTGTGTTTGTCGGCTTATTATCTGTATGCCCTTTGTCCAGCTCCTTTTCTTTGCCAGTCTGTTTTTGGAGATGTTCCTGATTCTTTAGGGTCTCGTGTGGAGGCAGCATGCCAATATTTCTCCATTTCCTCTCTTGTTTCCTGGTTTTCTCAATCCTGTCCTTGTCCCACCTGCCCATTTTTTGGCTCCTAGTCTTCAGATCTCCCATCATCTCCTTTTAAGATATCAGTATCGTCGGTATCTACTCCTTAGATTCAGGCACAGTTGTCCTAATTTGCTTATCTGTGGCAACCTTTTGCAGCAGGATGCATTGAGTTCTTCAGGTGTTGGCACACAGACTGAATCTTTGTTTTTTCTTTCCTCCTTCATTGTCTCCAATTCCTGGACTGTTACTCATGGACTAACTTTTGTCCACCACCCCAGTGACTGGAAACTGTGTGTGGTAAAGACTCCCTATCTCCACTAGTAGAATCTGGGGGTAATGTGCATTGGGGAGTTCTGAGGAACAGTGCTCTGGAAACAGTGCAATAGGTGAACCAAATTCCCAAAATTTTTAAAAGCAATCCGACCCTGATTTATTCAATCTGATGATCAGCAGGGATGGGCAGGATCCCCTTTAAATCATCAGATTGAAAAAACCAAACCTGGTTTCCAGTCACTGGGGTGGTAGACAGAAGCTTTTTCCCCAAAGTGTTAGAGTGAATTCCTCCACTCTCAGAGAAGAGGGTGAAGTTGGGGGCCCTCCTATCTCGATTCTTGTATGTTTTTATTCCAGATGTTGGTAGAAGCAGCACCAGCCTACAGTGGAGCCTATTCATAGTTCAGATTTGATGCTTGGCTACCCAGTTGAGTTGTGCATGGTCTCTCTTTTTGATCAATATCAGTTCAGTACATTGTTCATGGAAGGGGGGGGGGTCTACTATCTCCTTGTAATTCCAAATGCAGAGTGGTCCCATCCTGGGTCCTTGGTTGAGCAAAGTTGTTCTACACCCTCCCCATAATTCTGGAGGTAAGTGGAATGCTCCTTGCCTACTTGGTTGGGGAGTGAGGATGAATGTTTATAATTCCAGACCGAATGAGTTCTGTTCCTTTGGTTGAGTATGGCATATACGATCCCATCATTCTGAGTCTGGGGTGTTGCCTTTCGGGCTTCTTCAGGTTGAGTTGAAGGTTTGTCTGTTTATTTTCATGTCATGATTCCGGTGGTTTGGAATGCATCACTCTATGGCTACAGGTTGGGATTCAATCAATATAGTATATATATATATATTTATACATACATAACATTGTGGTACAATTGCCTTAGCCACCAATGTGGGATATATGGACCAAGACCCCTTAATTCCAACCGTGAGTTGTGGAACCTCAGCTATCTGGTTGGAGCTGGCCTATAGTGATGATCACTCATGTACACGTATGTTGGATAGTCAATATTTGAAAATAAAATAATGTATGAGCAAATAATTAATTAATTAAATGTTAAACTTAATAAAATAATCTGATACTTTGTGCGTGAATGCCTTGTAATGTTTACTGATAATCTGCAAAATTTGATGACGATACGTGTACATTTTAAAAAGTTACAGTATAACTGCTTTATGGTTCCTTTCAGGAACAAGGGCTGGTTGAAATCCACCCACCTGTATTGAAAAGGTTAACTAAAATTCAAAGAAGCACTGTGAAAGATTTTTAAATTTTATCTGACTACAAAGGGTTGTGGATTTACAACTTTCTGTTAGTAAAATAATGATGATATATCAGTTTAACCCAATAATAATGACATGCTTCAAACTTAAGCATGTTAGATAATTCTTGTTAATTTTTTTTCCAATAACACAGGCCTGCGATGGTTTTATTGTCTTGAAATTTTTATATGTTGAATCCAGAAATGATATCAATTTTTCTATGTCACATACAGATTTTTCACAAAACTTTGTATGTACTTTTACATAAGTGAATCATTTTCTCTGAAATTGGGTCACTAAATGTTGACAACCACTGGCTTTAGATTTCCCAAGACCATATGTAACGTGAGAGTCTTATCAATTGCTCTAGAATCTATGAGAAACACACCACTAGTATATAAACAATTAACAGGCCAC